ATGCTTTCTGGAAGTATTCCTGAGCCCATTCTGTTATTTCCTTGACAGTGGCATTCCTGTTTGAGGTGCAGTGACGTTTAAGGGCCCAGAGATCACGAGCATCCACTAGAGTTTTACGGCCTTGACCCTTACGCAGAGTGTTTGTTCCAGATTCTCTGAATCTTTTGATGATGTTATGCACCGCTATTGATGATAACTTAAAAGTCTTTGCTATTTTACGCTGGGTAACACCATTCTGGTATTGTTGCACTATCTTTCTGCGCAACAATGGTGGAATTGGTGATCCTCTTACCATCGTGGCTTCTGAGAGACACTGACACTCTGAGAAGCTCTTTTTATACCCAATCATGTTGTCAATTGACCTAATTAGTGTTAACTGGTCTTCCAGCTGTTCGTTATATGCCCAATTTCCTTTTTCCAGCCACTTATTGCTACTTGTCCCAACTTTTTTGGGATTTGTTGACACTGTGAAATTTTGAATCAACATATTTCTCCTTTAAAATGTTACATTTACTCAGATTAAACTTTTGATCTGTCATCTATGTTTTATTACGAATAAAATATTGACATTTGCCATCTCCACATCATTGCATTCAGTTTTTATTCACAATTTTAGCGTCCCAACTTTTTTGGAATCCGGTTTGTAGAAATATTACTGCTGCAATCTACAAAAAGGTCAAGTTTTTGTAGTTCTAGTATAATAATATTATTTTAACAACTTAGAGAAGCTGGGTGAGCCGCAAAGGCTGATGGGTAATCTAGGGACAAAAATGTATGAACTTTGTCTATTAGAGTGCATGTAGAACAGGTGTTCCTTTCAGTTTTTAACATATATGTTCTGCTCATTTATTAAATCATATTTGTACTCTTTCAGAGTTTTGCCTCCATTTTTAATCTTATTTTGACCTTTTTTTTTTAGCTTTTTAAGTTGTCAAACAATTTATTGCATTGTTTTATGATCTTTTATCACTTTTTTTTTACAATAAGTTATTTCCTTCTTCTTACAGAAGCTCAGGTCTTTAGCACCATGTTAGTGGCATTTGGCTTCATCTATCCCCTGCAGAATCACAAGAAGCTCGTGATGTGCAATGACTCCAGCCTCTATCGCTTCCAGGTACAACTACATCTGCTAAACAAATAAACTAAACATGCTAAACAACTAAACTAAACCTCCTAAACAACTAAACCTGCTAAACAACTAAACTAAGCATGCTTAACAACTACACTAAACCTGCTAAACAACCAAACCTGCTAAACAACTAATTTAAACATGCTAAACAACTAAAGTGTCGTGCTTTCCCAAGTGAGGGAGACACTGGACACGTGCCACGCCCTCACTGCAGCTTCTCCTCCAACGGGTATCAAAACTAATCCTATGGCTCAGGTATTACCTGCAGCTGATTTTCCAGGACAGTTTTAGTCTAAGGCTGTGTTGAGATGATTCACCCAGACTGTTAACTACCTACGATCCTTGCACCACACCCAAAGTTTCACCTCGTGCCTCGCCCGACCTAGCAGCAGGAGTGGGGACGTTTAGCAGATGAGGAAGCGCAAGTTAACGGTAGATCATCTCCTGATTTAGCGTTGCAATTGTTAACCGATCTGGCTTTGTTTAGAGTCTAGGCACAAGACTCTTGGATATTGTTTTATAGTCAATAGCTAGGAAACCGTTAAAAACCTCCCGTGCTTCTGTTGTTTCTCTGAACCAAGTTTTCCACTTCCAAGAACAAAGAGGGTGATGAAATAATAATCCAGAATTTTACGTTTTGCTTTACTTTAATCAATAACCTTTGCAGGGGAACAGCGGTATGCACAGTAATGATTACATTTGATTACAAAGAGATTACATGATGAATAATATTCACTCCTTAGTCCCTTTCCAGTTGTTGGCCTTTCCTGGGCAAGGTAGATTTCTGTTCCTGTGGAGGGCTTGAGGATGGCTCGTGGACTCCACTCCGCTTGGCCTTGGAGGTCTTTCATATGACCGGCCACGCCCTGACACACTCAGGAACACAAGTATCCACACAGTTTACCTACTCTCTCTACCTGACCCAACACGTTATTTCTCACTGCAATGAAGACCTTTCTACAACTCAGAGCAACCAGATTTATAATATAATTGATCTTTCTGCTTGCCAATTCATGCACTGCTGCTTTAATTTGGAATAAGGTTTTATTAAGGATCAAGTTTGTGAAACGTCGTCTTACCATTTTACTGACTTAGCAAGAAGCAGATTTCCCCATCCCCTCCCAGATGTGGGCCGTTTCTGGTCTTTTCAGCTGGTCTGAATTTGAAGAAAAGGATTCAGGAATAATCCGGGCTGAAGGTAGAGAAATAGCTCCAAACAAAGCGTATTCCAACGGATTTCACCCTTATTCTTCTTCAGCTGAGACCGTCCAAAACTTGTCCTATTAATCTACAATCGTCCCGTGGTCCAAACAGGTCCTGTTCGTTGCATCCAAACACGAGTAGTGGTCCCCAACAGTAGAGGTTTCACAGAGACATCTGTTTATATGGCCTGAGGATTTGACTGACACCTCCAAACTGATCATGCCATCGGACTTAAATTACCGGTAAAACTTGTACACAACTAAGCTAAACCTGCTAAACAACTAAACTAAACCTGTTAAACAACTAAACTCAACCTGCTAAACAATTAAACTAAACATAAACTTAATATTGATGTCAAACGGTTTACAATCCATCCATCCTTTATCTTCCGCTTGTTCTGAAGTCAGGTCTCGGGGGCAGCAATTTGAACAGGGAGGCCCAGACATCTATTTCCACATCCACCTCTTCAAGCTCTTCTGGGAGGACTCCAAGGTGTTCCCAGACCAACTGAGAGACGTTGTCTCTCCAGCGTGTCCTGGGTCTTCCCCGAGGTTTCCTCTCAGTCGAAAATGCCCAAAGCACCTCCCTAGGGATGCACCCAGCGAGAATCCTAATCTAATTTAGCTAATCTTAATCTAACTGTTTTTATTTCATTTTTTTTAAATACCATTTTACTGCTTACTTTACGGCTGTGGCTGAATGGTTAGAGCAGTCGTCCTCCAATACAAGAGTTGGGGGTTCGTACCCCACAGCAGTCACATGCCGAAGTGTCCCTGGGCAAGACACTGAACCCCTTGTTGCCTCCGATGTGTGTGCCATCTGTGTATGAATGTGATCTAAAGCACTGATTAGTCTCTTTAGAATGATTGGTTCAATTAGCTTTGCAGAGATCTAGTAGTGCTATATGAATGGGTAAATGAGGACACAGATTGGAGTGTAAAGCGCTTTGAGTATCTCAATAAGATAGAAAGGCGCTATATAAGTACAGTCCATTTACCATTTACCATTTACTTAATTTGCTCTTCTCAATTTATATGCTTTCTTTATGATTGTCTACTGTTGTCATCATTCTTTGTTAAAATTAGGTCTCTGTTGTAAATGAGTCCCCGAGGCTCAACGGGACTAACCTGTATGAATAAAGGTTGATTGATTACTAGATGCCCTAACCTCCTCAACTGGCTCCTCTCAATGTGGAGGAGCAGCAGTTCTACTCAGTCTCTCCTGGATTACTGAACTTCTTACCCTATCGCTAAGGGATAGTTCAGCTAAACTCCAGAGGAAATCTCCTGATGCATGCTCAATAATCCAGGTAGAAAAATCTAAAAAAATTCAATCTGGTCCTCTGGACATTCAAAAAAACAAAAAATAAAACAAAGCAAAAAAAATCTAGATATGTTTCGTCTTTCATCTGAAAGACTTCCTCAGTCTGAGGTGCTGTATTCAGCTCAGTCTCTTAAATAGCACCTTCTCAGAATGGATCAACCAGTTTGCTGCTGACAACCAAAACCAGCTGCTCACATGGTCAAGAAGGACCATCAGCCTAACAATTGATCATTAGCACACTGATGGCTATTTACTATTCCCAGGAGGCTGAGTGATACTAGCAATAACAACATTGTAAGAGGGGGACAGTTTGAACTTGGAGGTCTCCACCCCTGTTTCAGGCCAGGATTCTGCGGTTTACACTCATCTCCAGGCCAGCGGTCACACTTTCAGGGATGAAGATTTTCACATCCTGGACAGAGAGGAACGATGGTTTGAGAGAGGAGTAAAAGAGGCCATCTTTGTGAAAAGAAATCGTCCATCATTAAACAGGGGTGGAGGCCTCCGGGTTGAACTGTCCCCCTCTTACAATGCTGTTATTGCTAGTATCACTCAGCCTCCTGTGAATAGTAAACAGCCATCAGTGTGCTAATGATCCATTGTTAGGCTGATGGTCATTCTTGACCATGTGAGTAGCTGAGAGTTCGACCACAGAGTTTGAGGTTGGCCACTGCGAGAAGCACCGACAACCTTGTGGCCACAGCTCAAGGCAGCCACTTCAACAACTGAGTCGCGGAACATTGCCCACTCTGATTCAATGTACCCCCGGTCTCAGCTGGGATGAGGTTAAAGCTCTCCCAGAGGTGTGAGTTGAAGATTTTTCTGATGGGTGCTTCTGCCAGACATTCCCAGCAAACCCTCACTACACAGTTGGGTCTACCAGGTCTGTCCGGCATCTTCCCCCACCATCTGATTCAACTCACTATCAGGTGGTGATCAGTTTATAGCTTGGCTCCTCTTTTCACCCGAGTGTCCAAAGCAAATAGCTGCAAATCAAATGACACAATACAAAGTCAGACATCAATCTACAACCTAGGAAGTCCTATTTCCAAGTGAACTTATAGATACTAGGGATGGGGCTGATCCGATCCAGTATCGGTATCTGCCTCCGATACCAGCATAATTTACGTATCGGATTTTTCTGATCCAACCTGCCGATATTTCCGATCCATGATGCATGTTGGCTTCAAACTATGGAATGGATTTCCTGAGCAGAGGCGTGTCTCATGAGCCCAGAGTAATAAGACCCCCCTCACATTCAGGAAATCCATTTCATAGTTTTCAGCCAGCTACAACGTGAGGACTGAGTTAGCAGCACTGTGGCTAACAGCTAACAAACTTTTCATTGAAACATGTCTGCTGTGTGGACGTGTTTTACATTAGAAACACCACAAAACAAGACAGCAATGTGCAATGTCTGCAGAGCCATAGCACCACATTAAACCGTGGTAAAGTTAGTTTTACGATGGACATTCGAGCTTCGTGGCTTCAGTAGGGCATTACTCTTTGCTCAACCTGAAACAGTCAACTCGACCCCGGCCAGCCGCGTCCAATCTGCCCCGCTCAATCTGCCTGTCTGTGAGGAGGGACAGACTGAGTGCGGCTGACCAAAATCAGGCTGCCTGCTTCGGAATGAACAAGAAGAAGCCATCACTGAAGCCCCGGAGCTCGAATGTTTACCGAGAAGTTGCTAAACTTCATCATAATTCATGACCAACCACTATCAGTTGTAGAAAACAAAGGATTTCTCAGCTTGATACTTGCAGCCAAGTTATAGTTTACCCTTGTTGTGGCTGGAATACCACGTCGTGTTCAAGACGGCTGAGGCGTCGCCCTTGGTATAAAAGATTTATTTGACAAAACATGGGTTACAGATATTCAGAGACAAACAATTACATTAATAAGATATATGCATATAAATGGAGCATTGAGAACGAACCGTCGCCACGCGGTCCTACCGGAAATGCTCGGTGGGCGTGTGTCATTTCCGGCCT